GCTTGTTCTTTTCTGTCTCCATTCAGGCCTTGTCCGTGCAGGTCAGGACCGTAGCAGCTATGAGCAAATCGACCATCAGGGTGCCTCTCCGCAGTGGCCTGATGCAAGCAAGTCACCCCAGCAGCCGTACTGAGGCCCTCATCTGGACCTGCAAACCTGGAAGCAAAAGATGTTTCCTTGCCCWGTCCAGCCTTACGCTCCTCCCGTGTCTGTTCTGATGGAGCAAGATGTGGTACTGGCCAAACAGGAGAGGATCTGAGTTTACTTTCTTCTGCCTTCCTGAAGGTCGAGCAGATGCATTCCTACAGAAGATCTCAGAGATGCCATGCTAAGTGCTGTGACTCTTTGTAACCACAGTATATCCTGTCTCCCTTCCCCTAAATCTCTTTTCTGTGTGAGTGGAAGCCCTTTCCACATTCTACCATATCTTGTACTGAGTGTGTCCTTCATTATTAAGTAAGGGAAGCTGCCTTCAAAAAATACAGGAGTTAAACCTGCTTTTATGAAGAATACATCTCCAGGAAACATCTGGGAGTTCTGGGGAACTGGTTTTGACTGTATTATTTGACCAAGATTTATGTTGAGAAATCCCCATACTAAGTACAGTGGTTTGYGTGCAGCTGTCGTTGGTGTAGAAAAACTTACTGGACCTGGATGTTGCTTGTRCTTCCAGTACCTTGTGTGCTCCCAGTACCTTCCAGGTTTATTCACTGTTGTCTGTACGCAAACTGACTATCGCTCAGGATATTAGAATGACCTTAAAACGACTGTTAAATTTAGGTTGTAGATGCTGTGCCTTGAAATGTCTTTTTGCCTTCAGTTGCAAACAGAACTTAAAATGTTACATTTTTCTAAGAAAACTATAAAATGAACACAGTTCTGTGTTTTAAAAAAATGACTGGTCACATACCTCATTTGAAGATGTTGATAATTTCTGATGGGTTGTGACTATAGCTGGGGAGACTGGGAGCGTCATTACAGGAGGAGGTTCTACAGGATTTTGATGGGTTTTAGTCTAAATTTTACTCAGAAAACTAGTGGGTCCTGCACAGCAGAGCATGGTCAGTGAAAGTGGACTAGTAAACTAAGATTGGTAGAAAAGGTGTCCAAGAGGTTTCCTTATATGAAAAAGAGCATGTGAACATTAGCAGAGTAAAAACACTAGTGCTGCGAAGATGTGTTTTTCTGARGCAGGTCAACATTTGAATTATACATCTGTTATACTACAGTTGCATTTCCCTGACAAGACTGCTGCTTCATTAACTCTTCAGCGACCATGAGTCCCTATTAACTTTAAGCTTTAGAACCACAATACTTGTATGCTGAAAAACAACCAGTTTTCTCCCACACTGAGTTTTGTACATTAAATATGAAAAGGTGCTTTAACCACTACACAAGCAATGCAGTGATCTTTTCCTGTTGTACCTGAACCATCGTCATTCTTGCTTGCACCAAGCATATTTTAAAGGCCACAGAACTGCAATAGCCTGATTTATTTCTCTGAGTGTTGTGCATTCATTTTGCAGGTGACTGTTGGCACAGGCTGCCATGCAGTAGAGCATGCAGTAGAGGACTAGCAATGAGTCTGCTCTTGTGAGCAGAGGGAAGAATGAAGATTAGGTAGACAAAAGTTGGTGTTTTTGTGGAGTTGCTGGTTTGAGTGTAGTGCAGACTTTTATGTTCAGTTAATATTTCTTTAGGTCTTTTTAGCTCTACAGAAATGTACAGTGGCAGTACTGGTCCCTGAATATCCCACTTAAACAGGCCTGCGGGACTCTGTGAACCACACATTAAAAATGCTTTTTGTAAATGTAATGCTTTAGGGAGAGTTGCCTGGACATGAAGGATTCATAGAATCATTATAGAGTCATTATGGTTGGAAAAGACCTTCAATAGAGCTCAATTTTAGAGGCCTTCATGAGGCCTTCCCTGACATTTTCCATTGCAAAAGATRCTACAAAATCTGTAGATGTCTGTTTAGCTGATCTGCTGTGCACACAGAATTCAATGGATCTCACAGCTCAGAGAACCCAAGCATGGCAAAGGAGTTGATGAATTAAGGATGCCGGTTTGGGGCATTAAATCAGAGAAATGATGATAAAAACCTGGCCTCTYTACTGGCTTCTAACAACTGATTCATTTCTGGCAGGCAGCTGCTGTTTAGGCAGGGTTTAAGGCGAGTGCTGGTGTGCTCTTAGATCCCTACCTGATTTAGCGCGGTCCGTGGGGGTTCATTAAGCCCACTGCCGTGCCSAACACCACGGCCTGCCTTGCCGGCAGGGAGCTGCCACCAGCGCTTCTCCACAGGGCTGTCCGCTTGGGCTCACAGTGGGGGCTCCTCAGCTGGGTGTGCGGCCAATGCGATGCTGGGCTGTGATTTTAATCTGCCAGCTGTTTGAGTGAGCTGATGCCTCTCTAAAATTAGAAATTAATAGTAGAGGCTTTTTTTAAAAAGAAAATAATAATTATAGAATTATATAATAAAAAGAATTCTATAATAAACAGAAAGTCTGCACCTAGCTCTGTTGCTGCCTTCCCCCCTGCCCTTGAGGGGGCGCGCGTGGCTTGTGGGTGGGGCTTGTGCGCGCTGCTGACGGTCGCCCTAACGGTTTCTAACGGTCGCCCTAACGGTTTCTAACGGTCGCGCTGTAGGGGGCGCTCCCCGCAGAGGGTCGCGAGGGCACCGCGGTCCCGCCGAGCCTCTGAGGGACGTCGCTCCTTGCCGCCAGTGTGGAGCTGGGGGTTCTCCCCACTGTTTTGGGGGTGGCCCTGGCTCTTCTGCCCAGTGCTGTTGCTGGGACGTCATGGCAAGTTTGGGCCGGGCAGGGGGTGACAGAAAGGAAAATGTACCTCCTCGCCTGAGGCGCTGCTCCGGAGGAGGTAAACAGGTGCCCTTTGCAGGTACTGGTGGGACAGGGTGGGTGAGCTGCCCCAGCCTGCTGGGTTCCACATCATCYGGGCTGTCTTGAGGATGAGGCTTTAATTAGCCATGGATGAGAGCTGCTTTCCTGTGGCCATCTGCAGCCCCAGTGACAGGCGGTGTTGCTAATCATGGGGATAAGCTGCTTACAGTGACCCAGCTGGAATGAGCTCATTGCTGGGGTTGGGGCATTAATGAGGAACAAAGCTCCCGGTTTGCCTTGCACTCAGAGACACAAAGAGATCTTCGTCCAGTCCCTGAGGTTTTGGCTGAAGGGAGCAGCATGTCCAATGATGGTGATCGGAGTGAGTAACTGCAAGGAGAGGTGTGTGAGCACCCCAGAGAGCGTGTGGCTTGCTGTGAGTGGGCATGGGATGCTGCACTGGGGTCCAGTGGCGCATGCAGCAGCGATGCCAGCTGAGAGCAGGCCTGAAACAGCTTCCCCAGGCTCAGCCTGCAGAGGAATGGTCCTCCTCTTGACACTGATTCTACTACATCCTGTGGTGCTGTCTGGCTTTTGGCAGGCGATGTGTAAAGGATGTTCCTTCAAAGCTGTTCCTGAGCCAGCTGCTGGGACAGAAACTGCCCTCTGTACAATTAAGAGGGAAGGACTTGTATGTGCTCTCTGGTCTCAGCTGGACAACAAACTTGGCTAGAGGCCAAGTATTTGATGATAGGAATTGATGATTCAATTTTTAAGACTAAGCAGCGAGTGAAAAGCACTGTTTCTTAGGTTCCTTATAGCATAATCTTAAACAAATCATTGGTCTCAGCTTGAAATGTGAGATTGATCTGTGTTGGTTTGCATGAATGGGAAGGTCAGCTTTGCCTACGTGCTGCTTATGTGTTCRTTGTCTATCTGTTATTGACAGCATAATGATAAATTTCATTCACTTGGAAGACCTTGTTGGTTTACTTTTCAGGRACTGTACTATTTACTTCCTTTTGCTTACAGCAGAAGTACTTTGATCAGCTTCATTTTTGTTAACTTAATTGGATTTATTTCAGTCTACTAGCATTGTGCTGCAAAATGTAAATAGCAAGCATGTGTAAAAGAAGTATTTTAGTTGGGAACATAAAAGCTAATATAAAATCCATTGCTCATGAATTTTGCAATTTGCAAATTCTGTAGCATGCCTTAAATATCTCTTTTGGCCTCAGAAAAAAAGACTTTTTGCAATCCTGTTGCCTTTTGAGTAAGATGATCCACCGCTTCAAAGTGGTTGCCTCAGAGTTTTGAATGGTGATTTTTGGAAAGGTGAACAAATTTGATTTTTCAAAGATGCTGTTTCTTTCTCATCTAAACAAGACCTGAAATTAGGAACAAATCAAGTGAAGAACAGCTCCTAAAATAATCCTAGAAACCTCTTGAAAAGATAAGCATGCTGAAGAAGGCAGCAAAGCTCTGGAAAATTTGTTCATTTTAAATGCCAAGTTCAAATTCTGAGGCGGGGAGGGAACCCAACATGRTCTTTTCATTGGTAATATGTTTAATGATGTATGAAAGACAGTTACAGCCATTCCCAAGGGTAACTGCAACACCGCGTGACTRTCTCCTGTCACCTCAATAACTGAGCCTGCTCCTCCGTTTGCAGTGATTACTGACAGCATTTGTATTTGAGAAGGACAGCAGGTTATTTGCATTTGCAGGGGGGACTGAAGCTAGTTCAGATGTTTCTGTAGAGAAYGAAAAGTTGGAAAGAGAAGGCAATTTAAAAGAAGACCTTTTGCTATTCAGGTGTGTTTGGAAAAAAAATGACTAGATTCATATGTGTGTGTATATATATACATACATATATGCATATAAATCCTTGTGTAGACCTAGTTAGGTGTAAGTATTCTGGGAAAGCAACTATGGAGTCCTGGGTCTTGGCAGGAGGGGAACAGGAAGCTCTTTGGGAGGCTGCAGGTGACAACGTAACACTGAAAGTCTTTCTTTTCCTGTCTTTCTATTGAGAACAAAGGTTGTCCCCTTTGATCAATCCTACTCTGATAGATACAATTACTGAGAAATAGGGAAAGAGTAATTTCCATTTTATGTTCAGGGCTGAAGCAGAKGGGTTAGAGACAAAAATTATAAGGAGAATTCCCAAGGTCTTTGGAAAGCTATGGAAGATGTCACGAGGAATGTGCATACTCCATTGTTTATTTTTCTTCTTATTTTTCTTCAGAGCAAACAAATATTCAGAAGAATGTGAATATTGATCTGTTTTTGAGTGCTAGAAGTCAAGTAGACATTTCTCATCACTGGCACGAGCCTGCTGCATTCAGTGTAGATCACAACCAGAGAGCAGGACAGAGCCGGCTGTGTACTGCACCTCTGCCAGCTGGGGAGAGAAATCTCAGGCTGATACAGACTAATCTCCCCTGCCCTTCTCAGACACTTCGGGACACCACCAGCCAGCTCTCCAATTCCTGCTTCCAGCAGCAGAATAATCTCTGCTCGAGACTGCAGCAGCACAGCTCTAAGGATTTGGCTTATAGCACTCCCTGTCTTGCATTGTCAGTGCTCCCTGCTGTGGATCTTCCTTGGAGACCCTCTTGCCTTTATGCTGATAGTTTAGAAGGAAGAAGGAGTGAGAGTGTTTGCCTCCCTCAGCAATACCATCAGAGAGCAAAGACAGGTGGTTGCTGCTCCATACATTCTAATTGCCATTTTTCGGAAAGAAGGAACAAACATAGTAAATATCCAGTGGACAAGCAACAGTGCTGGTCTCTTGCTGCTTCTTTTATGGCTCATGGGAATCCTTCACATTTACCATCTAATACTGTAGATCCCCTTCTTGGGAACAAATCAGTGGAACACCTGTCTTTAAGCTGCTGCAGGGAAAGTGTGAACTCTTTTTGTTGTGCTTCAGCCCTTTCCTTGGGAGATCTCAGGCCATCTAGCCTGGCAGAGTCTTTTCCGAACTCTGCCTCCCTTCAGTCACTTCTCGATTCCTCACAGACTTCTGCCGATTTGCACTGTTCAATCCAGAGGCTTAAACAGGAAGCTGTTTGGATGGGGTTATGGGGCTCCCTCCCTCTGGAGCCCTTGCGCTCTCCAGCAAATAGCAGTCTGTGCTTTTCTCATGATGATTCAGCTCCTGGTGTCCTGAGCTCAGGAGAACAGCTAGCCGGAGTAAGTACCCATGCTGCTCAAGCGAGATTGAAATGGAATGTCCCATTTGCTAAAGACTGGAACCTTGGTGCAGTGCCAAGTGACTTTTGTTGTGCTGAACCTGCCTCTGTCTCTCACAGATACAGACATACTGACTCACACATGTGGAGAACCAAACTTTCAGGCAACATCCAGCAAGAAACCCTCTCTGCTGCAGTGGGCTCTGGCTGGCTAGTGGATGCAGAAGCAGATTCTTCCTGTAATTGTTCCCCTTGTTTCAGATACCAGGCAAAGTCAGCTCTGGAAACTGGAAGGTTTTATGTTCACAAAAGAAATCATTCTTCTGAAAAGATATTTAAAAGAGAAAAGAAATTTGATGGGACACACCCACGTGCTGTATTTTGGAAAAAAGACTTTCCATCCAGTCTATATCCAGAAGGTCTGCAGGTGGCACTGGAGAAACAGTTAGAGGGTGCTCAGGTGAATGGTGGTGTAGCCATACATGGAACTCCAAGGGAAATGTGCATGAGAGTCACTTCCCCTTCTGGAGATAGAGAGTTTGGGTCAGTCGAGCAGCTTGGTATTAAATATGTAGAAGTCAGCACCTCTGAACCTCATGGTGAATCCAGCAAAGAGTTGCAAGAGATGTGTGATACTAGATTGCAAGCAACCAGAAGAATGACTGTAGTGGACAGCAGCAAGTCCAGCCCTTTCAGTAAGCAGGCTCAAACAATCTTTGATGAATTTCCTGACATAGATAGTGTGAATCTGAACAGAGAAGGAGGAAAAAACAAACCTTCTTGCCAGCACAGAGGGAGGAACTGGGAACCTGACACCAATGTGGACCAGTCTGGAGGGCCTTCTGTGGAGAGAAGTGCCAGCAAACCACAGTGTTGGGAAGAAGGCAGCCAGATGCAGGAAACGGTGTCCCGTGAGGTGAGAGTGTGCTAACTGTGTAGCATCCCCCTTTGCAGCTCCTATTTGTGCTAGTGTCCATGTCTTGCTATAGGTGCAGGGTTGAGGTACAGCAGTAACAGGGCTACTTGGTCTATAATTTCCTGCCACTCAATGGTCAGAATCCCCTCTGCAATGCACACATCTCTCTCACATGCTGCTTCTCAAAGACTAGCATGTTCACAAGGCATTTACATTCCCAAGACCTATGTGTGTAAGGGAAATATTAAACTAATTTTATCTGGGAATTGTTGCAAGGCTGTGAAATTCCTGTTTTGTGCTTTTCCATGTCTGAAGTGGGTAAGATGATTCACATCATCTCTGTTGGAGGGTGAAGGGCAAAGTCAAGGTACCTAACACCATGTACAACCTGAGGCTGGTCTGTTTGATCTCCAGCCAGAATGATATGTCCTGCTGGGCACAGACAGATCCTTCATGGGATGAATAGTTATGTATATTACTGTCTTCTCTCTGCAGATCTTGGAGAGGAGCCTCTGGCCTGTGAAGGGGAATGACCAAAGGTAAAGGAAATCTATGTGTTTATGTGCAGATGTGCTGGTAGTGTCAGAGGAGAAAAAGTGTTTGAAAGGTATTAAGGAGCCAAGCTTTGGAGGGCATTTGGTTCTAGGAGTTAACCTATATTATTCTATCATGGTTGGCTCATGAGCATCATGCATTTGTTTTTCATGGATTGCCACATAAAATGGAATATACTCTAAAAAGTAGTTTCTGTATTATTTATATTAACCTTCCAATTTCAATCTTGGGTGTTACTAGCAATGGAAAGGCATTGGTATCGTAAATGCTGCTTTTCAATGCAGTGGTTTGCAACTTTTCAGTTGCATGGTTAGTGACAAATGAGAGCGGGGCTTATACATGAGATGGGATTCAAAAATGTGACCTGTGGAAAAGACATGAGATTGCTACTAATTTAGCAACAGAGAGGCCTTAATTTGGTGTGAAACTTAAGGTCTTTCAGTCTTGAGAGACAGCGATTTCAGGTAGTTCTTTGCAGCTTCATGGCTGGACTCTGGTTGCCACCTCCTGGCAATGTTTAGCTTTACTTGCTGTTGCTGGAGCTCAGTCCTGTTTTTTTTTCTCTTTAAGTTTCCAGAACTTGTGTGATAGACAAGCACTAACTAGGTGTTTCCAAGCTTGGAAAAGCCATGTCTTCTGCAAAAGGGCAGCAGCCAGGCAGCTTCACAGACAGCAGCTACTTCGGAAAGGCCTTCTTGCTTTGCAGTGGGCTGTGCACCTGAGGAAGATGCAGCTGGAGATAGCCCAGCGAAAACACACCTCAGCTCTGCTGGCTGTCACCTTTCACAGGGTGAGGATGGGCTGGGGACAGTAGGAGAGATGCCATCGCTATTCTGTTATGCAGTCAAAGAAAGCAATGATGTTGGTGTAGGGAGGAAAGAAGAGTAGCCTGGGTGAAATTTAGTGGTGTGCACCCTTGTGCTAGTGCTTTCCTGCAGTTTGTTCTAACTGTAGTTTCTCCTTCAGTGGAAGGAAGCTCTGGCAAAACAGAGCCAGAAGCAAACTCTGCAGCCTGAGCCATATTCTTATGCTCCAAGTTCATCGGTGGATTTTCCTGGAGTAGGAAGATTAGCAACCATGACAACCTCAACTGTGGCTCAGCACCAGTTTACTATAGGATGCTTGAAGGAAGCTGAACAGGCTTGTAGGTAAGCTGAGAGCTTTTTTTTCTTTTTTCTTTTTCTTTTTTTTCCTTTTTTTTTCTTTTTTTTTCTTTTTTTTTCTTTTTTCTTTTTATTCTTTTTTCTCTCCTCTCTTCTCCGCTCTCCCGCTCTCCTCCTCTCTTCTTTTCTTTCTTGGGAGGTGGAGGGAAGATATATTGTTACAGATAACCACTGTGAGATTTAGTAACTAAACAGGCCTATTTCAGGGTTTCTGTGCCCTGCTATTTTCCATGTGATTTGGGTGACAGAAATACTCCTGTACTTTTTGTTGAATTCAGCTGTCACCTGTATATGGGAAACAAGTGTAAATGAGATTGGAATGAGGCAGTACTACAGTCTTTAGCAGGACAGAGATGTAGCAAAAGAAAAGATGGTTTAGTTCATCTGGTTCTGAAAGCAGAAGAAAAAGAACTGTGGTGGAGGTGGTTCTAGATTCTGTTCTGTGGGTGCTGCTCAGGCAAGTGGAGGTTAAAGTACCTGTCTCTTTCAGGGTAGAGGGATCGCTGTGGACACAGCTTCATYGCAGGCAAAGAGGAGATGAGTTCTGCTGGAGAGCTCAAGCTATCAGGGATATGAGACAGCTAGCTGGTAAGCACATGCTCTACAACCTTGGAAATGCTTTTGGTGGGAATCACTTTTTCACCATAATTCTTAGTTAGTGTCTAGTTTTTGTTCTTTCATGACCTGATCCTACAAAGTGCTGGGCAGTTGCTCCAGTAATGTGAGCTACCTCCCTTAAAAGCCCCTTTCCTGACATTTGGAGTTCAGCCACGGGTGTTTGCTGYGTAACACTAAACTGTTCAAAGTTCTTCTAAGTTTTTGCTCTTCCTGTGAATCTCTTTGTGCCCTGTCACACAGCAGCTTTCAGATTGTGGCGCCTGCAGAAGGAGCTGCTGAGCAAAGAGGAAGCCAAATTGGAGGAAGCCCAAACCCTGCTGAAAAAAAAGCTGCTACAAAATACTTTCCAGATGTGGCGTTCTCGGTGCTTGGAAATAGAAAAGATTTTAGCATCGACAACTAGAATCCAAAGAAATTTGGTTTTTCGGCAAGTTGGTAACATGTATTTTTACTGTGAAGAGTCTGTTTGCTATGCAAGCCCTGGGAATGACAGAGGCAGCTCATTGCATTGCTCATTCTTAAAGTCACCCTTTAAGAATGGGTGACTTTAAGACAGGCAGTGATGCATTGCTCATTCTTAAAGTCACCCTTTTCTTATGTTTTAGGGGTTAATAAAAATGAAATGTATAGAACCGTGCAAATTTTTGGAATTTGGGCAATAAGAGGTTTTTTGATTACAAACTGAACTGAACCACCTGCCTGATTTTGTAAAACWTGATCATATTGCTTTAGGTAGAAAGATCTCTTAACTGATGTGTTTCAAATTAGTGGCAGTACAGAATTGGTTTAAGATATTCAAATCCCAAGCCCTAAAGAAAATTAGTGATTTAGCATTTATTTATTTATTTCCTCCAGGTGCTTTAAAGCATGGAAGGAGTCTGTTAAGCAGAAGGCACGTAACAGGTGTAACCTGGCTCAACACAGAGCAGGCTTGCTGAGGAAGTACTTTCAACGGTGGGTTTGGATGCTGCAGGTCAGGGAGAACAATAAGCGGACGATAGTAAACCTCTTCATCCTGCGGTGGCGGCAGTATTATGGTGAGCAACTCGACGACTGAGCAGAATATAAGATTTGGAGGTGCTTAAGCCTCCTGTGTCCTTCTCCTCTTGTATGATGCATTGAAAAACACGTGAACAGAGAGGCTCAGGTAATACCTAGTACTAACCAACTGGAGTGGGGGCAGAAGTCCAGACATTGTGGATGAATCAGTGAAGTTACAGGCAGCTGTGTCTTTGTTTCAGAAATCTAGGAGAAAGATCTTAAAACTCTGAAAGGAATCTGTTGTGGGGTTGGACTGGGTTGAATTTCTGAGGAATTCCGCTTGACAGATGTTGTCCCTTGTCATTCTCTGTTATTGGTTAAGGGCCAACAATAAGCTCAGTACCTGACCAGGCTGTGACAAAGACACGTGAAGCTCAGCCACGGTGGACTATCATGAGACGGTTTTCTGAGAAGGCAGGCTACTCTCTTGATGACCTCTACCAAAAGGTGAAACTCCAGAGGGTATTTCTACTGTGGAAAACAAGGTTCTGCGAGCACCAGATAGCTGAGTGAGTGAAGGGCCAATTCTTGGAGCCTTACCCTGCTTGGTAGTATTTGCTTGATTTCCTGGCTCTTCTGGGAGAATCCCTCTTACCTCTCCATTGTGTTTGTGCTAGCATCCCTCTGCGGTATTCCTTTTCCAGCACTTTACCATCTCAATTTCTCCTCTTCTCTTAGTTCTTTCTCTCAGGCTTTGGAGCAGCGCCACCTGAGAGAGGCTCTGAGGTTGTGGCACCAAATGTTTCTCATAGTGAAGACAATTAAACAAAGTCCTAAGCACTCTGCCAAGGCTGTTCATAAAGATCCTCTCGCCTTCCTGGTTTCTGAGGACCTCTCAATATCTTCTGGCTTCCACAGCAGTGCTCCAGTTACTTTTGCTTCTCAAAGCTCATTGGAAAAGGTAGGGAGGTATTGATGCAGAGTCAGACATCTGAGGTATCAGGTTGTTACATTTTTTTTTTTTTCAGGAAGACATTTCTGCTTTATCAATATCAATGTTATTGACCTTAATAAACCGTGCTTAGCATTTAAGCCTCAGAAGTTTGACCCTGTGGTGCCCAAGAATTAAAATGTCACTAGAAGCATCTAATAAAGTTACTTCTAGTAACTTCTGTGCCCTTATGATTTCTTTATTTAGTGAGGAGGCATAAGGGGAATCACCAGGCTAGTGATGTTCTTTTGGGTACTTGTGTCCCATCAAATCTGTATTTACACTCCAGAACGACTCTCGGCACTGCAGTTCTTTTGAATGCATCATGGGTTTTTCTGCATCTTGCTGAAAAGGGGAATAAATGACATGGTCAGCACTGTTACCTGACTGATTTCATTGCAAGGACACTGAAGCAACTGTGTGTTTGTTTTGTTCTTTTTTTCTCCTCCATGCGTGCAGGAATATAGTCCTAGTGACAGCAGCCGGCAGAGCTCTTCTTCCATTCTGACTGCTGAGGATGTCTCACAAATGCCCTATAACAGTTCTTTACTGCAACTACACCAATGCACAGAGCTGCCAGCTGAGCTGGATGGTGAGCTCTGCTTGCAGGCGTCCTTTCCTCCACAGAGTCCTGGATTGGGGTGAGTTGAAGCCTGTTCCTTTGGGTGCTCCTAAAAGTGACTCCTTGTTTGATGTGGCTGAATTCCTTTCTTCTGACAAGTAACTCACGTTATTTCCCAGCATTCTTCCAGACATTTTTCCCTCTGTTTTCTCTCCCTTGCCTGCCTGATGCTTGATCAGCCTGATATTTTTGTCTTGCAGAGGAAGTTGGTTTGTGGGAGGACAGTTTCAGTCCTTGGCACTGCATACTCCAGGCAGTAGTGTCCAGCCTATTGCCAGTTACTCCACAGGGGAAGAGGTGAGGCTGAAAAATGGTATTGTGAATGAAAGTGTTCAAATAGACAGGATGTGGTATCTCTCACTGTACTTTCTGTGGGTTCAGAGAGAAGATTTAGGAGATTGAAGTGGTTATCAAGGCAACTTTTTTTTCTACTACATGACAATTAAATGGGAATTTAACCATGCATCGAGGATTTAAAAGGGATGTGTTATATCCTCATATCTACATGTAAATGTGGTGCAGGTTAGCAACAAGAGCTGAGTGTCACAGCTGTGAAAACTATAACAGCAAAGAAAAAGGGCTGAGCTGAGTGGACTGACTATGTCCAAGAAGGAGGTCAGGGCCATTTCTTCTTTGCTGGGTTACAGGACTGCAGTTTGAACCAGGAGGTGAAGTGTTACTGGCAACAAGCAGAGAAGTGCTGCCTGCAGAGGTACTTCTTCATCTGGTCATCTCGAACTCAGCAGCTTGTGAAGGCCCAGCAGTACTGCAGACTTATTCAGCTGTCTCGGTAGGCAGTCTGCTTTCCAGAGCCTTCCCAAAGCTGTCTGTTTTGGGAACTCTCTACTTATTTTCTCAACTTCCCCTAGCTGTCTTTTTTTCATCTTCAGCTGTGAGTTTTGCAGCTCATTAGTTTGACTGTTGCTTCCTTAAAATTATATGTGAACACCATCTTTCCTGGTTTGTTGAGATGCCTCACAAACTAGGGCAAGCCCAGCAATGCTGATTATAATCCCTGGTAACTCTCTACCAACTGAAATAGCCTCATTCTCCTTCCTAAGTATTTCCTGAAGTCTCCTGTGTCTATGTTTATTAAGGCTTCAGTTACACAGTGAATCTGTGTAAGTTGTTCTACAGTCACTGCAATGATCTTTGTCCTCAGACCATTTCTCAGCTGGCACCACTGGGTTGTGGAGACTAAGAACCGAAAAGCAGCAGCATCCGTAAATCATCACATCCACTGCTGTCAAATGGTTTTCAATCTGTGGAAGAAGAGGCTGTCCCAGAAAGTTGAAGCTGACCACAGATTCAGATGTCATGTCCACCAGAGAGCTGCTGATGCTTTGTGGCACTGGCATTCCCGCTGGCAAAGTGAGTTACTCCATCCCGTAACAACACTTGAGTCTGTATGAAAGGGATGTTACAGTAATGGTTAGAGAGGAGGAAAAAAGTAATAGCTCTGCTCACTGCTCGTCTGTGTTTCTCCCAGGGAATCGGGCCATGAGAGAGCTGCAGCAGCAATGGGCTCAGCACAGCTGCCAGGAGAAGAAGAGGATGGTCATGCGGACATGGTCTTGTCAAATAAGAAAGCGGAGAAATGCTACTTTATTCTGGGAACATATTCTGCTGCACAGGTTTGATGGTTTTCATTTAAGCTACTGGGAAAATCTGAGTTAAATATGCTCTGGAAAAAAGGAATAAAAACTAAACAAAAAGCAAACAATATTCAGTAAAGCCTGTGAAGATTGAACCATGATACTCAATACACCACAGTATTACCTACACTATAGGTAAAGCAGTGGTATGTTCTGGAGTCTCATGTTATGGTGCAGGAGTTTCATTAGAAGAGCAAGAGCATTTGTCTCTTAGCTGCTGTTCACTCCCCTTCTCACTGAAATCTGTATCTTTCATTTTGTTTTTGTTTTCTACCATGTGAGACCACTGTTTGTCTGTAAAGCAGCGAAGTGTCCAGGTACAGCAAACCAGAAAGAGCATTCAGGAGATTCTGCTTGAGACTTCTGGGGAGGATAAGAATGAGTAAAATGGTTTGTGCTAAGGATTCTTTTAAGACCTGAGAAGTGAAGGTTTGGCCCTAGCAGATTTCCTTTTGAATTGTGGGTTCAGCCAAAGAGAAGACAAAGATTGGCAGAGGAAAAAGCAGCTAAAAATACTGCGAAACTGCAGTGGCCATAATGCTTAAGTTGTGCACTTAACCCTACTCAGCTTCACTTTCTTCTCTAAATTAGTCTGTGTGGGAATGGTGTTTCAGAAATGTTCCTGTGTTCCCTGTGTTCCCTGATGGGAATGGTGTTTCAGAAAAGTCCTTAATTTTGCTCCTTCCTGTAGAGTGCGTCTCCATCATTAATCTTGCTTTAGAGCGCTCCTTTGATGAGAGGGCTCTTATTATTTCTCACCTTGCTGTGGTAGAGGCTGAGTCCTGTCTCTTCTGAGGAGGGGGGCATTTTTCATGCTAGGGTAACCTGCAATAGATCCCCTTGATCTTCAGAAAGGCTTGCCAGGCAGAGGATATTTACACTTCTGCCCTCTGGTGCAATAGGGTGATTTGCATAATGAAAGTTCAGCTGGGACAAGAAACCAAAAAGAGAAGCTGGGAGTTAAAAGCAGATTGGCTTCTGGGRTTTTAGGGTAAACATGACCTCCTGTCCATCAGCCTGTAAGAGCTGCCTATGTAGACAAGTTGCTGTGAGAGCAAATTTACAGTGCTGTTGACAATCTTTTTGTAGTTATTAAATTTGGAATAAAATTGTCAACACAAAGACACACTCTTTGCGTTATTCTACACAAAGACTTTGTGTTATTCTAGTACATATCTTATGTAGGCAAGYTCTTGTTTTATATATGTCAGCTAGGTCCTGTACTGAAGGAGATTTTAGCAGTTATTCTCATCTCATAAGGAAAGGCCCTCCTCACTAAAGCTTCATCTCACAGATCAGCTGCTGGCACAAATAAATATCCAAGACTGACTGTTTTAATGTCAGATTTTCCTTTCCTTTCTATGAGATCTGTGTGTAGTGGCRGACACCTTGAGAAAAGCATTTGTTTTATGGGCAAAGCAGAGCRTGATATAACACTGTGTTCAGTTTGCAGAGGCCCTTGAGGAGGAGAAATGCTAAAATGCCTAGACTGAAGCAGTCATACTCTACGGCTTTGAAGAATTAAGAGCTAGCAGTGCTGGGATTCTGAAGTAAAATGAGAGGAATTTCTTAGTGGAAAGCAAGTGTAATCTAGGAGTTAGGACTTACTTTTCTAGTATTTTGTCCTTTAGAAGTGTTAACAACACAAAGAGGTAAATATTGGTTATGAAAGGATTTAACAGGAACAGTCTTTATTCTCATTGAATACTCTTTTAAATTTCTCTGGCCATTTMGATGTGACACTGCAGGGTAGGGAGTAGAAGGTAGAACGTTGTAGTCTGTTCAGCGTTGATACAGAAACATGACTTCAAGCATCTGTTCTTCCTCTGTGTGTTGTTTTTCAGGTGCCTAATCACCTGGTCCCGTGTCACTGTCTTTAGGCTGAGGCAGCGTGAAACCCTTTCTTGTTTTGAGAGTGCCAGAGAGTACCGTCTTCTAGCAGTAAGCTTTGCCCAGTGGAGGCTGGAATTCTTGAGAGCTAAACAGCAGTTGCGGGGAGAGGGAAGCCACAAGCAGCGGGCACCTTGTCAAGCCAAAGCCTATCACCGCTGGCGATTGGCCTCCAGGGGACAGAAAGCCTTGCACCTAGGTTCTGTGGCCACTATGGAACAGGTAAGGAGAGCCAAGGGAGACAAGGACATAACTCTCTGCTTTCTTGTGAGGACCACAGTTGGTTTTCTGGACAGTGAGATGCATTGATAAGGCACCTGAGGTGCCTACTTACTTTCTCTAAGTAGTCTCTGCTTTGAAATGTTTACAGACTACACGCGCAACCTCACTGCAAAATTCTGGCGCTGATTACAGCAACAACCTGGAGTAACGCATTAAGAAAAGGGACGTTTAAAATCTTTGCTGTAAGATGAGATGGGATGATGACTGTCTCTGGAGAAYAGATGAGCAGTCAGAGTTGCAGTCTTTTTCAAAAGGCTCACAGCTAGCAAGCCATAAAGAAGTCAATTGACTAGGAAGGGCTGAGTCAGTTCTGCTGGCATCTCAGCTGTGCAGTYTCTGACCGAGGGTCATATTAAGCCACCTGCAGAGGTATGAATGTGCATGTATYTGTAAGGCTCCTCTGTGTGTGTATCTTGTGTTGGCTGCAGGTCTGTTATCTCTATTTTCAGGCCTGCAACTACTGGACAAAAGCAGCTGCCTTTTCCCAGTGCTTGCGGCAGTGCAGTATCCTGATAGGTGCTAGGAAGATCAGGAAGATGTCTCTGTCATGGTCCATGAGTAAGAAAATTTCCCCTGTTTCTCTGGGGCCGTGTGGGGAGTGTGGGTGAGAAGGGGAATAGTGTTCCCTAGTCAYAAGCTTCTCTGTGAACAAGGTGTTTGTGGGAGTGGGACTTTGAGGGCTACTTCTGGCTTCAGGAGCCAAAGGATAAGGGCTCCTGCTGGCWCTGATCAGTCTCTCCCTAGCTGCAGTGTTAGCCTGTGTGTGATTTCTTTTTCTTTTATAGAGAAGAGAAGATGCAGAGAAAAAGGTTCACCGCTAGTAGCAGCTGCCTGCTTGAGGCTTTTTCCCAGTGCTGTTCACCACTGGCTGATGATTTACAGAAATGAAAGCAYGGTGGAAAGACAGCCTCTCCATCAGATGCCAGAGAAACTTGATGTGCTGGGATTCATGCCTGCACATGCTAGAATCCAGGAGAACAACTGTGAAGTGGGCTCTGAGGAACCAGAGAAGAAATGGGTTGGGTAAGCAGCGTGGAAAGCTCTAGACTTCCTCTTTCAGTGGGATGTCAGCAGGGAAGGAGTCGCTCATGGGTCTTTTGGTCTGACGAAGCTTCTCTTCCCCTCTTGCYTGCAGGAGGAAGTATCTGAGGTGGTGGCATCACACAGTGATGCTGCGCCAGTGCCAACGTGACAGGAGGCTGCGCTGTCTGGCAAGGGCCTGGCAGCAGTGGAAGGAGGCCAGCAGCGTGGCACTGCTAGTGCGGGAGCTGGTATGTGTCTCATGCGATCAGGCAGGACTGCTCTGCTTGCAGCCTCACAYGTGGTCCAGGAGGGGAGACCCCAGGTGTACCAGTGTGCAGTGGAAGTCTTGGTCTTCTTCGTTGGCTACTTATATGACCTTTCTCTTTGAAATGCCAGCCTGGCAGAGTGGCATAATCATATATTTGTTTGTGCTTTGCATTATTTAACACATTGGAAGCCGAGACTCAGGATAATTTGTGTAGCCTATCTGCTATTCCACAGCAAATATTACATCTTTTCTCATCTATATTCCTGACAAATCCTTCTGATGTTCATAGCTTACCAAGGGTGGTCATCTGGCCTCACCTTTCCCTTGGTCCCAGCCACCTACAGAACACACTGATATTCTTTGGCATTCTGAGGTGTGTTCTAAGCTGTCTGTGAGAGAGGGTGATGCGCATGTAAAGATAGTCACTGAGGAGTTGTAGCTACAGCACAGCCAAGGCACCWTGCTTCAGGGTGTTGTGTCTTAACTAACTGCAGGGTTTGCAGAAGATAAATTCAGCAAGAGCTATGGCAGCTGTCACCTTCATTTGTGAATTAGTGCAGTGTCGTTCAAGAGGTGCCAGGGAAGGGGACTGGAAACAAGGTGGGACTAAAGGGAAGTGATGGGATTTGCCTGCCAGAGCTCACCTTATCTGCTCGATCTGTCTTTTTCAGGACAAACAGCGGCTCATGGAAAAGGCCTGGAGGATATGGAGACGACACCACTTGCAAAGTTKTGTGGTGCAGAGTGTTTTGGAGGAGGAAGCCAGGAACCTACTCTCTCACGTAAGCATTTGTGTCTGCTTTTATTTTATTATAGATTCCAAGCGTTTGGCACAGTCCTAAACAGTTGCATTGCCTTAAGGGTCAAACGTTTTACATCAATGCTGCAGACACCGATTACTGTTCTGAAAACATCTGCAATTGCTGTTACTGCTTGAGAAGTGATATATAACTAAGGGTCTGGATCCATGTGCTCCTCTTGTTCCTGAAAAGGGTTAGATCTCTACAGTAATGCAAGAGCAACAGGAAAGGCTCTCACAAAATTGGCCATGCTAGTAAATGGCATGGGCATTGCTAAAGAAAGAGCTGTGATTACTGRTTCTGTGCGGGTGGCTTCAACCCCTCAAAGATAATCTGAATATTTGATTTGTCCACTCTACTATTTAAGGCATTTGGAAGGTGGCACCAGCTAACAACATTCCAGCTGGAGAGCAAAGGACATTGCTGAGTGGCAGGAGGCTGCCTGCTGCTGATCATCTCAGGACAGTCAGAGGACACAGCCAGCTTCCACAACAAAGTTCCTGTGAAGTCAAGAGGATATACAGACCACTGCTGGCACGATTCAAGTAATACTGCAGGCATCATAACCAACGCACAACCAGCAAGAGATGGTATCTTGTGAAATGTTCTATTCGAAGAACTGATATCCTACCTGTCTACAGCCACAAACCTGGAACTTACTTCCTTTTCTTACAAGGTTGTATTTATTTCTCATTTTGATCCTGATTTTGTTGATTGGAACTCTGATTAAAGGTCAAACCACTTTTACAGGTTCTCCCTTTACTCAGCGTTTCTTCCAGAGCAAGAGCTTAGTGCTTGTGCAGGAGMGTTTAACATTTGTTTGCTAAGAAATGAGCAGAAGCGTGCCTATGCGAGCCCTTCATCTTGTTGATTCCCAAGTCTAGACTGTCCCTGGCAGGTGTGAATGCACAGGCCTTTATTTTTAGATATCCTTCTTCCTTTGGAGGCAATTCCCATATGGCCCATTCCTCCTCCCCCTGTGCAGATCCATTAGCTCTTCATTAAGGTTTCCAGTAAGTGGCCGGCTTCCTGCTTCCTGTCTGCTTCCTGCTGCTTCATTTCAGAACTGAATGGACTGAAGATGAAGAAACCTGCTGGGAACAGCCGAGCACCAAAAGCTTTGCTGAGCCAAGATAGRCGTGTCCAACCTCCAACCCTGTTATTACTTGCTCCTGTGATTGATGCCCTGTAATTACCCTGGGTATATGAGCCCAGGCTCAGATAGCTATAATGAGAGGGTCTGAAGAAGCTGGAAACGGCTTTTCTTCCATGCTTGTTTAAAAGAGATGCTAGCAGCTTGGCAAGGATCTTGAAATCCCACTGGGACCAGCCCTAAGCCAGTGTTCGTCCTAGCCTGTGGTAGCTTTGTGGGATTGTTTAGTGCAACTGTAACAAAGCAGCCTCCTCGTACTCCCCAGCCCCTTGTTCCAGTGCTCCAAACCTAAGGCTGATAGGCGTTTGGGCATGACAGGGTATCTTTTCCTGCAAGTATTGGGAAAGTAGGAGCACAGCTCCTGTGCCTTGCAGCACTGAGCCCAAAGCTGCAGCTGGTTGCTCTTGCTAAGTGTAGGGGTGATGTGGTTTTGTTCCACTATGGCGCTTTCTCTGTATTTATTTAAGGTCTCTATTGGAAATATTGTCAGAACTGCTCTAGGAACAAGCGTTTTCTTAAAACCTTTGGCCTGAGATGAGTTTGCAAACACATTTTTTTTCTGTTTCTTGCAGGAGTGTAAGTTTGTGCACGAGCCGTTTGCATTTTTATGCATTTTATTCTCCTTATTCAAAGAGGCACTGTGATTTCTACTCATTTGCAGACATAAGTGAAATTCACATATTCCTAGCAAAAGACAAACAGGAAATACAGTAATAAGGGACAAACATGGAAAAAAAGTCTTCGGGAGTGAGTATGAAAGAGCCTGATAGGATCTATTTGATCCCAACTGATCTTAGGAGTGCACTGAAAGAGTAGCTTGAACTTCATTTTAGGATCGGTTCAGTGCAATAGGCTCCTTGCATAGGCACTGCTAATAGGAGTGGTTTTGGTCGTGCAGCAGCATTTCTGGAATGACAGGATGACCAATAGGCCCCTGAACATCATCATATCTGTATGCAAGGGTTCTCCTACACCTCTAATCAACACAGCAATGATTAGCCCCTCTTCACCCTGCTGGCCTTCAAGCTCAGCCTAGATTCTCAACTCAGAGGTTCAGATGGTTCTGGCTGCTGTTCAGTGAAAAGGGATCAGGGAGCCTTTGTACTAAGGACAGAAAAGCATGTAGTGTAGACAGATTAGAGAGCTAACTTGGCTCTGTGCRGAGGTGGACTTTAGGAGTGCGTGGTCCACTTTGATCCTGAGAGGAGCTGCTTTTTTTCTCTCCTTGCAGTCAGTGGCTGGAAGGAGGAGATAAAGGAAAGCAGGAGGAATTTTCACTGCTCTTTTGGAGAATTCAACAGCTTAAAAGTGTCATCCACAACCTGCCAGAGGCAGTTTTCAAGGGGGAAGTCATTGTCCACCAAATTGACCAAGTAGTAGTTGTCATGGATGTACTGGATGATCATKCGAGAAGGTGACTCCTCTTCATAGAGCTTAGCCCATTGCTCAATCCACAGTGCAAAAGCCTCATCCTGCCAAATAAAAGGAAAAAAAAGTGTGTGTGGGTGYGTAACATGTCAGAGCTCTGTTTTCATACTACCTCATAGGACAAGGCAGTGTCATGTATGGCTGGCAAGCATGTCGCTTGTTTCTTTTTATCTTGGTGAAAGAGGCAAGAGCCCAGGGTTTTGTTTTGCACAATCAGTTTTAAGTGTGAACACAACTGAAAGCGAATACAACCTGCAGTAAAAAGGCTCAACACTGCCTCTGTGTGTGAGAGAGGAGGGAGAGATACAGCCCCAGAGCTCTGGAGACTACTACAGTGACACAGGTAGCTCTCTAGCCTCATCTTACAGGGTCTTTACTGTGTTTGAAATGCTTTTGTTAGGACAAGGCTCTGCTGGGAAGTGGGAGGAGCTGTATTTGGACCTCRGGCTAGCATCACCAGGACGCTCAGTTGTGAGTAGCGTTATAGATGTGAGGGTACAAACAAACAAGACCCTGGACTACCTGCGCGTGACAGCACTGTACCCTGCAGGAGGGAGGACTCACCTTCCAGAAGAGGAAGCTTACAGGATCCACCACAGTGGGCTGGATGATCTCTCTGCCTGGAAAAATGCCCCAAGTGACAGCATTGGGTTGCAGCTCAGGAGCATTGGTGATATTCTGGCCCTGCAAAAGGAGGGAAATGCCTTCTGAAGCAGCTGCTGGAAAAGGAGGTATTTATTGAGCCAGTTCATTTACCCTGTCCTTGCTAAGAGATGAGACAGCTGCTGCGTGTCACAGTTGACCTGTTTTATCTTCCCCTYCCTTTATATGCCACTGTGTTCCTGGGGATGTCTGAATCTTTGATACTTGCCTTTCCCTCAAGGTGGTGAAYGGAAAGTATCCCATAAACAGCAACCTACCTTGACGTTGACAATGTGGTAGTTCACCCGCGTCTCATACTTCTTCAGCGCTTTGAGCAGGGCTGTGACGATTTCACTGGAGGTGAAGAACTCTAGGTATGCCTGCAGCAGTGGGGAAGGGGCAGAGTAAGAGCTTTAACTCGTGGCAGGGCTGGAACCTATAGAGTATCTATGAGAACAGAATCATGCTAAGGCAGCCTCATCTGCTAGGAGGAGAATCCAGGGGTCTCAGCTGGGCTCTTCCAGGCACCTGTCATTCCCAGTTCTCTTCTTTTGTTTGCAGTCCTCTGCTCCCATAGCCTAATTCTGTTACCTCCCCCTTTCCTCCATTTACTGCTGCTCTGTGCTTGGCTGCTCTCAACAACTGCTTCCCCTCCCCCTCATTTCCTGGCTATTGTGGTGGATGATGGATTTACCCTCACCTCAAGGGATTTTTTTTTTTAAGGAAATCGTAACTGCATTTGCCATCTGCTTGTCTTTAAGGCTTTAGCRATTTGGATTTCCTTTGAACATGGTTGCTTTGTTCCCTAGTCATAGCCTGGCATTTACCTTGACAGAGCAGGCTCCTATCACTGCCCTTACTGGCTAGGCTTGGCAGTGCTGGAGAGCAGCTCTGAAGAGGGCTTCCAAAGGCAGGACACTAAAAGGAAGGTGTGGAAGGTAAGACTGCTTTGCAGGCCACAGAACGAACCTGGCAACTTTCTGAATAGTAGAGCAGTAGTGCTATGTGGTGGRGGTAATTAGTGGAGAACCCCGTCTTAGATTAGGATACAGTAAAAAGAAGGAACTGTTTTGAAAGGGAAGAAAACACCTGCAGAAGTAAGCCACAGCAATGCTATAGTCTGTCTCCAAGTGACACCAGAGGAGCTCTTCCTTGTCTCAGCAGGAAAGCATTTGTATAAGGAACTGGTGAAGTATCTGTGTGAAAGTCTGTCCACCTAACAGAGACCAAACAGGGATACCTAGCCCAGAGGAATGCAGTACCTTTTGGAAGACATAACCCCCACTGGGCCCCCAGCCTACAATGGGGTCCGTGGATGGTTTGCCATTGATGTTTGGCTGGGAGTTTATGGTCAAGATTCCTCGTCTGTTGACTTTCTCTAGCTGCTCCTTCAGAAGGTTGGTCTCAGTAGCAAGAGGGTCATCATTCCAAGGCATACACGTCACCTGCCACAAGGAGAGAGGATGGCCTCACCATGGATGCAATAATCCTTTGGTTAACAGCCACATGTTGAAGGGACTCAGAGGTATTCTAATTTTGTCAAGTACAACTCCCTCAGGAGACAGTTCCAAAGCTTGGTTCGAGGGGCAGAATCTCCTCAACCCTGAGAATGGCTGCCAAAGCCTATACTGCAGGTTCTCCCACACTGCAGCAGTTTCCTTCTTAGGCCGAGTCCTAGCTCTGGCTGCTGGATTCCATATGGTAGGAGCATGTCATTATCTTAGCAGTTTCTTTTGGACAAAGGGGATGTGAATCCTTGTTTAGCAAGACAGAGTAGGAAGAGTAAGAGGAAATAAGAACTGTTGTCCGTGTCACAGCGACCTCACTCACCCTATGTCCGTTTTTGTTGGGCTCTCCAGTGATGTAACACGTGAACACTTCAAAGACACTCTCTTCACTGGTCAGCTCTTCTCCCCACATCTTCAGGAGCTCCTCCCGGGGAGACTTACTCTTCAAGTAGAAGAGATAATAGTCCTTCAGTTCTCCAAAGGCTGGAGAGGAGGAGTTACCCCTGTGCGGGGAAGCAAACACAGGATTAATAGACCACCGAGGAGCAAGATGAGCTCATTTGGTGATGCAACACAACAGTCACCTGAGTAGAGGAAGACTATTCAAGATAATCTGACCATCAAGAGACCAAAAGCCTCAGCACTTCTAGTGTTATTATCCTCACCTCCCTAAACTCCAAGCAATTAACTGGAAACCACTTCAGGAAGAAACCGCCATTTCAGCTACCTCCTGAGCCCAAAGCTGAAATCAGGTGTGCAGCAGACTTGCATTCAACCCCTCTACCTCCCTACCAGCTTACCATCGGCCATTGGGAAAATCATCCCACTCTTGAGTTCGATAGATGTAACTCTTTGGCCTAGAGGACCAGAATATTGGCCGAACATCTTCAACTCTTCTTTTGGGGTGAGCACTGACTGCCCAGGGCAGAGGCCGCCTGTACAAGAAGAGCAGAATTTAACAGAATTCTTCTGCTGACTTTCCACAGGAGGCTAGAAACCCCTCCTCCTGGATAAGCTGACCCCTGGAGAGAGCAAATAATGGGGACTGAAGACAATTAGGAGGACAGGTAGCTCTTCATCCTTTATGGGAAAATCTTACCCCATGCCCTCCCCTCAACAGACACCCAGCGAGCCTAGGTGGTCCTGTAAGTGGTTAACTGCAGGACTGACGCCCAAGATGGAATGAGGAGAGAGAAAGGAAATATGTGAAGCTGTTTTTCTTTCTTTCTTTTTTTTCGTTAAAAAAGGTTTGGTCTACTTTATCGGAGGCTATGAAGGTGCTAAAAGAAGTAGTGGAGAAGTGCCAACCCATCCACTGCTTGTGCATTCAGCGGATGTATAGAAGGAACTAGCAGAAGCCACCATATTCTGCTCACCTAGGGTCCTCTTTCCACATGCCTAGGCGTTTAAGCACTTCAATAGTGGCCACTTCCCGATTGAGGGTGTAAAAGTGGAGCCCATGGACCATGCCACTGTCCAATAACTCCCGGCACATGGACACTGCCAGCTCCACCCCATAATTTCGGATAGCTGCATCGTTGTCCTTGATGGGTTCAATCACATCTTTGATTTCTTGAGGCACTTCCAGCTTGGAAAGCCTCACCAGCTGGCGCAGAGAGTGGTAACCCTGGATGAAAAGGCAGGAGATTTTCATTTTTCCCCAACATTACAGCAAGAGTGTTGGAATGGGACTCCTGGATTCTACTCCTAGACTCCTTCTCTAGGAGGGCTAGGATGATAATGCAGTCCTGGTCATGTGATTTCAGGTAATTTCTCTACACAGTTCTTAATTGTCTGACCCTGCCATGCTGACAGTGTTAACACTAAAGCTGTAAATCCTTAGGATTTATTGCCTTTCATATCCCTCCATGCCATTTGGGCAGAGAAAACCCTTTTTAAGCTTGTTATTTCACCCCTGAGGGTTTAATTTGGCAAACCATATACAAATTGATTGGATGTTGAGCACCCAGACTTCCCAGAAACTTTGTGGAGGGTGTTCACAGACTTCTTTCAGGCCATGACCCACCAACAGAGACTCCTGGTTTATTATTTCCTCACAAAGCCAGAGTTTTCACCTGTATAGGAAAGATGCCAGGGACAATGGGGCAGGTGATGCCAATGGCTTGACAGTCCTTCATGAACTTGAGAAAAGTTTCCGATCGAAAGAAGAGCTGCGTGATGATAAAGTCTGCCCCAGCAAGGACTTTCTCCTTCAGGTGCCTCTGGTCTGCCTCGTAGTTTTCTGCTTCAGGATGACCCTTTGGGTAGCCTTTAAGGGGGAGTGGGGAATGGGAAAAGTTAAACCAGGACAGGAGACACTAGAAATTAGCCTATCCAGGCCCAGATGAGGGACTGCTGATTTCCCTGCCTCAGTCTCTGTCCCACACTCTGCAATGAAAGATATTTACCTGCCACGCAGATGTCAAAGTAATCATCAAACTCATTGCGGATGTGCTTCACCAGATCAACAGCATAGTTGAATCCTTCTACCTCTTCCTGCCATTCCTCACCAACAGGGTCTGAGAAGAGAACACATCCACAACTCTCTGCAGCTCTTTGCTTGTTTGCTGGATTTTGGTGAGTTAGTTCTGCAAAAGTCTCCTACTACCAAAAGGAAGAGCTAAAAATGAAGCCTCAARTTTGCAGTTTTTCCCATTGACTGCTTGTCTCTAGCCTTGAGCTGCGGAAGGGACTGCTAACAAAAGGATCAAATGAAATTCAGTCTCAACACTGGATTACTGCTGCAGAAGGAATCTCTAAATCCTATTTCTCCATTTTATCCTGGAGCCCATTGTAGTACAGCATGACCTTAACTCTGTGCCTTGTAACTGCTCTAGGACAAAAAGATTCACCTCCACGCAGGGCCATGATGTTCTTCAGCCCCAGCCGCTTGGCCTTCTGCAGATGCCCTGTGATCTCGTCCTTGGTCTGGTTGCAGCACGTCATGTGGAGGATTGTCTCCAGGCCACAGTAGTTGACTGCAGTGCTAGCAATGATCATGGAAGAGGTCTCTTTATCAGACCCCGGGTCACCTGCGGGGTGCCACGTCACATCAATGAAGAGGGGACCGCCTGCTCCCATGCGATCGAACCTGTGGATTTTAGAGCTGCATTAGTCTGACAAGTAACCAACTCCCTTCTCTCTGCCTGGGTTAGCTTGCTCACTGCTAAACCACCCAGASGGAGGTTGGATGACAGCAGCAGCAGCAGAGACAAAGAAAGTGTTAAATTATGAGTTTAGCAAGTGGCCAATGCGATAAGCTGACATTTAAGACTGTGAAGAGGAACAGAGAATCTTTTGGGAAGAAGCAGCAAAAGTAAACTGTAAAATAAACTTCCTCTCAGTACCTCTATCAGAGTGATGCATTGTTCTCTCTCAGAAAATTCAAGTCCCATTCTTTTTGTGATAGAAGAGTATGGCRGAACCCTCTGTTCCCAGCTTTACGCTGGGGGAAAAAGAAACTCTTGGCTGTATAGGCCAAGAACAGGGAAAGATGGACCAGATTTTTTTTTTTTCTTCCCCAAGTATGTCTACCAGAAGAGACACGTTTTCCCCCTAACTTGTCTTCCTCCAGCTTTATACTTAAACGGAGTCTCCTGGCTGAGGTAAAGCCTACAACCTAGTAGTGACCGGAATTGGGAAACTCTGTTTTATCCTCCAGGTGGGGACATGTGGGCTCCTGGGCCTCTGCGCTAGGCTACTGAGAACTGTCACCTTTCATTTAGCAGGTAGATAAGGACATCTATCTCGGAGCCTAAAACTAGAGCCCTCAGTAAAACAAAGACTGGCATGAAAGCAAGTGGCATTCTCTGTTCTAGTGCCATAGGCACATTGACCATCCAGTAATATTACTTTTTGCTCAGTCTTCACCGAGCGTGGGAGAGGCRATACAGCCAGACCTCCTCGGAAACCCTTCCATGACACTTAACGCTTCTGAGCTTCCAAGGCAAACAAGTTACCTGGAGTCCATTACCTTTCTCAGCAGGAAAGCAGAGCCCCGTTACCTGCTTCGTCACCTGGAAGGGGAGACAGGGCACAGGCCTGAGCCTGCCTCATCAGCTACCCCCCAGCCCTCCACTAAAGGTACCTCATCTTTCCCTTCTCCCACCCTGCAGCCCTCACCTGGAGATGAGATTGACAGCACCACTAGCTGTGCGGGGAGGGAAGAACTCCAAGGAGAACCACTTGTCTCCAGAGTCCTGCCGTCGACGCATCTTTTCCCGTAGTCGCTCATGACGTTCGGCATCAAGGACAGGAGTGGAGCAGCGTGAGCTCTCCTTGGAACTCTCACTCCCGCTACTGCTGCCACCATCAGACTTGGAGCTGGAGCTGGCACTGCAGGTATGTTGATTCTCATTGACCATGGTGAACTCCCTGCTGGAGAGAAGTAGAAGGAGCACAGTGGGTACAAGAGAGGAAAACTGATCTTATGGATCCAGTAAGTGGGCAGTGATGACCATGGGTAAAAGGGAAGGGATGCCTGTGCCAAGATTACTGTTAAAAAAAAACAAAACCCACCAAGCAGTTCCTTTTGCTAGGCCTCACTACAAGCTGCTGTGAGAAATATGACTAGAAATGAAATAAAGAAGTGTGTGTTTAGCTAGTATTAGCAGAAATAATATAGCAGGTGACTTCATGCCATCTTGATACAGCTCTTCTGCGGTCTCTGGGCCATATTTGTTTCTTACAACAGTCTGGTCACTTTGGCCCAGGTGAGGACCTTTTTCATCTTGTGACCTTGGACCGGACATGCCAGCAATTATGTTAGAGCAGCTGCCTCTTGGCAYGATCATGTGCCATCTGCACAGTTTCCCTGCTGTTTGTGCCCAAAAGGCAGTGTTTCTTTACAGCGTAGGCAGGGAGGAAAGTGCTGGTGAGGTAGGTATAAGAAAATGTACAGACTACTCATTGGTCAGGAAAAAAGAGAAAGAATCCCCTCTGGGTGAGGCTAACGTGACAAGAGCCAGGCTAGTCTAGTCCTCTCTGCTTTGTTCTTGCTGGCATAAACCATTTGCATTTCTAAACCTTAGCTTTCCTCCACAAGATACATCCACCAACATTTGTTCCTCAAGCCATCTGCTTCACAGACGCAACTCTTTTCCCCCATCATATCTGCTTTGCTTATTCTTTTCCCCACAAGTTGCGGCTGCTTTGAAACAAGTTCAGCAAAAGCCTCTCACCCGACCCAGCAAGATGTCTCATATGGATAAATTGTTCCTGGAGGGACAAACTACCAGCCTCCCATAACTGTGGATTAGCATGTCTCCTGCAGAGCTAGTGAAAGGAATATGCCCAGACCATCCCCTTTTCCCTGCCTTGTTGTAACATGGTCAGCTGTGCTTGGATTTACAAGTGGGGAAACAGCCCTGCACAGCAAGTCAGATAAAAAAAATTGGGCCTCGGTTATGCACTCTGCTTAGCTCTCTGGGTCACAGCTGCAGTGYTAGATGTCATCTCCCCAAACAGCTTTGCTCTTTGCCTTGAAAATGAGGCAGCAATTACAGACTATTAGTGAAGAGCTGCCATAAATCTTCTTATCTATGCAATATTTACTTATCTACCTGCCAAAACTTACAATCAGTAACAGGAAGGAGCAAGTTAGCTGAACATGACCTAACATTGGCACCTTTTCTGGAGGAAGTGATTGCACAAGCTGTTGCACTCATGTCACCCTGTCCTTGTCATAAACTTTGTGGAGTTAGGTCAGCCAAGCAGACTTTGAGCTCTTCTTCCACTGTTTACAGGTAAAAAAAAAAAAAAAAAAACCCAAAACAAAGACACATACACGCTTTGGGAGAAATTCTGCTTTGCTTTTCCCATGTGGGAATGTCTCCAGCTGGCAGGTATGCAAAGAGAGGGTAGGGCTTCTGGTGCCAAGAGAAACAGAGACTCTCAGATCTCGTGTACCAACATAGCAGGCCAAGGTAAATTCAACAACACAGATCTGCTGACACCTGCAGCAAAGGCAAGTGCACSGTAAGAGCACAGACCCAGCTCTCATCACACACATCTCACACAACTGCACGCTGAAGCCTTAGAGGTCTGCAAAGAGTTTGTCTAAATGGCAAAAACATTTGCAAAACAAGATAATCTTAAGCACCGAGCAGCTCTTTGAGGTCAATCAATGCTCCTCAGTGAGCCTTGTCCCTACCGCAGTGCCAAGCTCAGGGCAGAGACCCTTGGCCCAGTACGTGGATGCTGACCAGACCCAGTACGTGGTGCCTGGTGTGTTTAGGTGCTGCTGCGACCTCTTTGTTTAGCTCTGGGCTCTCCCGACTGCTGGGCTGGCCAAACTCCCGTGGGAAGCAGAGACCCACGTTTCCACAGGCTCCCTCTCCTCCCCTGCCCGAGCCAGTTAAACTCGGTTGGCCTCCCCTAGGGCCTTGGCTGTTGCAGGCCGCAGCACCCTGCCTGGCCGGGCAGCAGCCAGGACGGGCGCAGAGAGCTGAGCTCAGCTGAGCTGAGCTCAGCTCTCTGCGCCCGTCCTGGCTGCTGCCCGGCCAGGCAGGGGCCGAGACGCGGCGGGGGTTGCAGGCAGAGGCGCCCTGCCCGCAGCCTGGGGGCTCCTTCCCCTGGGCTAAACCCGCCACCCCGGGCCCCGCTCACCTGCCCGCGGCGCTAAACGCTGCCCGTGCCGGGTCCCCCCATGGCGCGGCCGCCCTAAGCCCCGCCGCGGGGGCCGGCCCGCGCGCCCCGCCCGCGCC